AACACAATTGTACCTGAATTTCAGTGACGAGCACTTGTAGTCCAGAATCGATAGGTTTAAGCAAACGATACATATTCTGGAGATCCTTTCGGGCCTCGTTGTGGACCATTGACTGGCACTCGGACTGCAGAAACGTCAAGTGGTCGCCAACCATACGGGCCTCGCATTCGGAGGTCACCCGTGGGTACGACGACGAGTGCAGAAAACTCCTGGACCTGAGATTCTCGGCGTCCAATTTGGTCAACACTTTCTCCATATATGAGGAACAGTCGCACGAAGTGAGCAATTCGTCCGCTTCTCGCTTATAGTACTCTCCCGTCGACCGAAGGAATCGACTCTCAAACAGATTCTGGTATAAGTCGAGCGAACCCTTCTTCTTGTACTCCTCCACGTGAACCAGCGATAGGATAACGCCCTGAACTACAGACTTGTTCTGCGATAAACCCATGCGATCACTGATACAGAATAAGATAAGACAATTGTCAACACAATAAGACATATGCGCTGTTTGTGGTGAAGACATACGCCTCGATGGCCTCCAGTAGTAGCGCAACCAAACTGTCTTTGAGGGGTTCAATCATATTCACTTTCCACAGGTGAAGACCCAGTTCTCCGATCTCAAGCATCTGTTCACTCGAGTCGACGCATCCGTACGAGAGGTCCGCCTCCGAGTACTTGTGTTTCTTAATGTGTTGTGTATTTAAATACATGTAAAGTATATTCATATAAGTGACACCTGTTTGGACCAAAAAACACAACGGTTCCCATTAAGCCATGTTTGGATCAAATGTTTGGACAATGTCTGGACAAACCTTCGCGGTATATAAGCCACTGTTGATGGTATGCGGACAACAGGCTCTCGTGCGACGACTTCACCACTGATTGGTAGAGCTGTTTGACGTGTTGGTCCAGAAATGTCTTCGTCTCCTGATATACGCGATCACCCAATGGTTCTGATGGTAAATAAATGACACAAACATAAGGACACACAATAAGACAATGGATGTGTTGGTTGGGGGCGAAGACACATACCGGGGAAGGCGACACAGAGTTGATACAAGTCTGGGAAGCGGTCATTCCATTCGCTTCTGTGGACGTGCTTTAAGACAATCACTTTCTCGACAGTCGAGCGGATCTGATTCCACGTCGGCTCGAACTCCACGTGCTTTGGCTTCAAAG